CCCCCCCCCCCCCCCCCCCCCCCCCCCCCCCCCCCCCCCCCCCCCCCCCCCCGCCTCTGCGTCCTATGTATTTTTTGATTTTTATCCGGTGAAATGAGGGGTGAATTAGAAATAGAAAAGGAAGAAAGCAGTCAAAAAAGATCAGTATGAGCCCAGAAGGTGTCAAATTTCCTAGTTGCAACGTGTAGTGCGGCTTTTTATTCATGGAAGATTTAGCGTTATTTTTTTTTTCCGTAAAAATATTCCAGTTTTAGATGATGGGACGAATGGAGCTGGAGATACAGACTTTTTTGGTCCTGATGCAGGCGATAATCAGCATATTGTTTATATTCGCAACGCTGAAGTAGATCGACGCGGACATACAACAAACGGTGGTATGTTATTGGTTTTTAATAGCCATATGAAACACGTGTGTATCACGCATGCACACTGGTACGTAGTGTTCGAAAAATGTCAGTTTTTGTGAGGAACGCAAAACGAAAAAGGGTGAGGATGCTGGGAAAAGGTCAAAAAATGCTGAAAAAGGGATCTTAAGAAATATGTTTTTTTTTTCGCGTTCGTACGTGAGATCTAGACGTACATGAGCGATGATGATTTTAGGTTTTAAGGATGACACGTATGCTGGGAACATGTGCTTCCAAAATTTCAGCCCCTAGCTGTCCTAGTTGTTGAGTTGAAAGTGGGTGATAAACTAATTGTTCTAGCATAATTTATATACAAATGCAATTTTTCAGATGCTGAGAATGTATCAGATAGCGAACAGATGGATGAAGGATAAAAAAAAAGTAGCCGCATTACTGGATTATGCTTTTTCCTGTGTTTTTCTGAACCGTGCAGTGTTACTGGACTGCCTTTTTATTAATTTTGTCCACCTTGTCGAGGGGAAGTTTCAAATTTTAAATGAGCTGAGGATTGTGCTGTATTCCTTGAGAACTGCGTACATTCGCCTTGCAGCTGCCCCTCGTTTTTTAAAATCCGCTAAAGTGCAGTCAAAAAATTCATCGCTTTTTTTGGGAGGGAAGGGGGGAGGGGGGAGGGAAAGGAGGACGAGGAATCAGCACCGTATTTTTAAGATAACAAATATGCAGCGTTATTTTGGTTCATATTTTGGCTAATTTTCAATTTTTTTTGACGAAGTAGCAGTTCTAGTAGGCTAAAGAAATTCAGCACTTTTTCTGGACAGTTACTGAGAATTCGCTAGGTCGCGCAAAATGCACTCGTTTGTGAGTTTGGGGTGAATTAAGAAAATCGCAGACGTTCAGAAAGTACCAATTTTTTCTTCTGAGAGGATGCTGGAGTGAAGAAATTGGCTTAACAACTTTCACTTAGCACTTAATTTCTTGTTTTGTATCACCATTTACCATTTCCCTTCCTTGTCCTGAACCTATCTCCAGCTCCTTGCTCTGAGCAAGGTCTCAGCTCCTTTCCAATCAATATTTTAGTCCATTCTCTTTATTTCACCTTTTCTTGCGACCTAAATCAACACCCCCCGGTATTTTTCTGTTCGCTTCCTTTTCACTCTCCGCCCTCTCCCCGCTTTATTCCTCCCCTATCCTCTCCCCGCTCCTTCCACCCGCTTCTATCTTCACCCCGTCGTTCGAAAAGGCATATCACAACCAGTTAAGCTGAGCTGGTTTTTGGTGTTTGTCGTTTCTTGACCGTTTATTGTCAGAAAAATTTTTTTCTGAACTTCAGGTAACAAATGCTTGACTGAGATTTATGTGGGGTATAGCAAGCGAAATTTTAGAAGTTTTAATTTATGCATGAAAATCCGTGATGAAGGTAATTGCAGGATTTTTTTGAGGAGAGGAAACTGTAGAAAAACAAGTTGATTTCAATAAGGGCAAAGCGATCTGAACACTTCGCAATTCCATCTCAAAAAGTGGCAA